GAGCAGCGCTTCACAGGGCGAAGCGTCCGAACTCCCCTTTCCGGGAGCAGAGACCCCTTGCGCAAGCTCCCGTGGGGCAGCCACCGCCAGTTAGCCTGGCTTAGGGAACCAACGCAGCCGCACTGTCAGCACGTCCTCGGCCCCCCGAAAATTGGATGAACTGAGTAAACCGGGCCCTCATTGCCCAGGGCTCAGCACGGCCTGGCAGGATCCCCCGGCCACCTCTAGCTGGTTCCGGGGTCCTCCGACCATTGCCGTCCCATTGTAACATTAAGGAGGTTGCTTTTTGTCACCCCGCAATGCTTGGGGGACACTGGAAGTGGGGAATGGCCAGGGAGTGGGTTTTGCTAAGCCTGCAAAATCACCTCTCCGTTTGACCTCGTGCCACGTGCATGCAGCGCCAGAACTCATCTTCTGGGGATTCCTGATCTTCCCATCAAAAGCTGGGAGGGAGATAGCAGTGTCACTCGGTGTGCGTGTGGTGTTTGCATAAGAACATTTGTGACACATTCAGCCGGACCAGAGGTTGTTGCAAGCATTTCATTATAAACTCAGCTTATCACTTACTAGAGAAGCTTTACCCCTAGGAAGCCGGAACATCAGGAGCACCCACTGTGCTCAAGTGTAGGCAAATATATAGAAAGAACACGCCTCTACCTCCTATGTTTCAGTACTTCCAGATCTTTGAGCCTGCTGTTCCTTTCCTTCCTCCTCCTCCTGTCATCTCTACTGGCTGCTACTTCTGCCCATTTTCTCATCTTTCTTCCCCACTGTTGCTTCCTTCCTGGATTAAATCAGAACAAGTTTTTCAAGACTTCATTAAGCTAAGGCCCTACTTTGATTTCCGTCATATGGGCACAGCCAGAGAAGATTTCAATAGACCTTGAGCTAGGTCACCAAATCGTCTTTAACTGGCATTCATCATCCTCACATAGTGGATTCCCAGTGGTTCCTCTCCTGCAGCTTCTTAAACATAGAGTATTGACATTTCCCTTCCAGAGGAATGTTTTTCCCACTTCTAGCTCTGGATACGAGTCCTTCCTTATTTGTTGTGCCAAGCAACTATAGTCATGTGAAAAAGTAAGTATACCCCATGTAAAGTTTTTTTTTTCTTTTTTAACATATGTG